ACTCACAACATATTTGCTCTCTGACCTCTAGCTCTGTCCTATTGCCTTTACCACTTTAAAAAATATATGTCTGAGTTCCATTCTCATCAGTTTAGCAAATTAGATTATACTGAGGCACAGGAGCCAAAAGGTCTTATCACATAAGTTTTCAATGTCAACTAGAAGAGTTGTTCTCAACCTTGGCCACACATCATCAGGGAAAGTGGAAGATCCCAAGCTCATGACACAAGCCAGGTGAATGAAATCAGTATCTCGGAGCTGGGGGCATTTTCAAAGATTCCCCAGGATGGTCAAAGGATCACTGATCTACGGTATCAATTCACTGATATTGAAGAAACATCTTTGCAATGTAAATCAATATAAAGTAAAAAGCAAAATGTTTATGCCTAGTCAATGTGAGGTCAACATTGAAAATAAAAATTTAAAGGAAACGGAATTGAAATTAAAGCAATAGGTCAAATAATTCAAATTAAAATATTATTTTATTTGAAATAGTTATATGTATACTTGTTCTTGTGTACTCAATCTAGCATGAAAAACTTAATGGATTATAATTTATATGTGGGGGGACATGAGACTAGGAGCATTATTGATTTCCTTTGCTTCATACTTTAATTCACCTTGCACATGCAGACACTGACATCATACAATTAAAGCAATTAAAACCAATGTGTAATAGCACTTATTAAAAGTTTGAGCCCTATATAGTTACTAATTTGACACAATTACAAGTTCAAAGTAAAAACAATCATTCTTTAGCCTATAAAAACAATAGGCACCTAATATTAAGATAAAATTTTGGTTTTTTCCTATAAAAATAAAATATAATTCATAAAATTAGTGGTCATATATAAAACAAAAAATAGGAAAAACAAAAATCAGGGTCATAAAACTTGTTATGATAATGGTTTTAACCTAAAAATGGCCTTAATAATGGTTAAAATGATTATCTGCATGGTTAGACTATTTGACTTTGTAGAAAAGCAATTCAGCAATAGAGAGAAGATTTGAAAATAATCAAGTGATAGGATACAAAAAATATCTATTTGCATATGCATTCCACATTCCTGGACAATGTCACACTTTTTACAACAGCACTTAATCAACAGCAAAACAATATTTTTTAATAAAAATAATTGTTAGATACTTGATTTTATTTTAAATATATTCTTTCAAGAATCTAGAGCACATGACGCCAAAATGAATTAAGAACTTAAGAAAGGTTCAAACTGTACATTATGTAATTCAAATTATATGTGCTCAAACTGGTTAATGTTTGTGAGCGGTTTCTGCAAACAATACAGAAGGCCTCAGGTATCACGATTATTATATATGCCTCACATTGGCAGAGCATCCTTTTGGCCAGTATCTGTTAAATTAAGAATAAGCAATAGAATCTGCTTTAACATGAGATTATAAAAATAAAAATATGGATGCATATGTTCTTGAGAATATGAAGATTAGTATCTATTATGAGAGAACTAAAATACAGATGATGCAATATCTATGTTATAATCTAATCTCAAATCTGCTTTCACTGATCATCTGGCTTAAAGCGATCAATAACAAAAGTTTACCAGAAACAAAGTAATTTGTATTCCTTAAATATCCCAATTTGTCTTCACATATGCTTAGGAGCTAAAGGACAAGAGAAAATATTTATTTAACTTTAAAAAAACAAACATTTTAATAATATACGTATGTAACTTTGTAGCTTAGAATACTACATATTTAAATATTAGCAACCAACTTGAAGATTATTACAGCTTTGTTACTCTTATTATATATTAAAGATCATTTTGAAAACTACAGAGAATTACTGTCATTATTTTTGCTACTTGACTTATGTAAGATAGCAGCTTGAATGTTCTTTATTTTTCCATAAATTTCCTCCGAGATAAATGTGCATATTTACTCTTTTAAAATTAAGCCAGCTATTTCTCAGAATATTAAAAAATATTCTTGGGTACAAATGATTTTTATTATGTGTTCAATACAAATGTTCACTAAAATAAATTCGAGCTGCATTTACTCTCCAATTACTATGGACTCAAGGCACTATGATTGTATCAGATCAATATTAAGGTTTGTTTGCTTTCTCAGCATAAGGCATCAAAAGCCCTTCAAAACAAGTTAAATTAAATGTAATCAATTCTATTTTATATATGGAATGTGGCTTTTTTGTAAATGGAGGAGAATATAAAATTAGAAGGTAATATGTCCTTAAGTTTTAAATTTTAGAAATTACTGCATTAATAATTTAATTATATTTCTCCTAAAATATAAAATTGTACATAAATTGTATAACTAATATGACTAAGTATGTCCTATCTATACTTACAAATATATTTATACACTATTAAATTATATTTTTCATGAATATATTACCAACTCAAGAAATATAATGCATTTGCTTTTAACATAGCCTCGGGCTTTGTGGCTATCTTAAAATATGGAAAATTTTCCATAGAATGTATATCTTGAGCAAAGTCCTTGATGACAGTCACAATTTCATAATTATAGTTATATTTGAAATGAGTAAAACTGTTTAGAAAGAAACTCAGGCACATTATTCAAAGTTTACAAGTAGCATTTTAAGGCATGTAATATAATTTGTATGTGGATGTCTTTGTGGCTTTTTCAGAATCATAAGGAATTATATATTAAATTAAGGAAATAACCAATCAATTTGTAAGTTATCAACCGGGAACACTTGAAACTTAAATGTGGAACTCTAATTTTTAAAAACAATTATTATGGAAAAAATGTTTCAAATGGACAAAAAAACAAAAATCACACAACCAAGAAAATAGCTACAAGATATCACAAGTAATAAATCATGTGTGTGGTGATGAGAAACTCAAATGGCTGTGCTTACTTTTCAATGTGAAGAAGAAATGTTCCTAAGAAGTTAAGACTTTATAATGTGCTTTTGTGTATACAGTTAACAATTACCACTTTATATAAAAACACAATCCAGAAGTAGTTCATGAAATTACAAATTAATTTCACCTACATTATACCTTACAGCTCTGATGACAAATATAAAGTTGAGAAATGTTTCAGGTCAAGAGGAAAATATACTTATTTATATTTAAAATTTGGATATTTGAGCAAAGATATATTTGAAAAGCTTATTTGAAAATATGCTGCAGTCTATTAACAATGACTATCTTTTAAATACTGAAGCTATGCAAGTTGGAATTGATAGAAACTTCTATGAGAATTACATTCAGAAAAGCAAGCAAATTTATATTACAAGATACCACTTTTAAACATAAATAATATACTGAAATGCTTATAATCTTTTTATGAGTAACAAAATTAGCAGACACACCATTTTCCTTATTTTTATAATTCCAAAGAAACATATCTGGTCATAATAAATAACTATGCAATAAGTTATCAACAGCTGCCATTAAGAAGTTTAATCCCCAGGCATTAGTTATAGTGATATGGTTAAGAAAAGTATGTAGGAAAGTTTAAATCCATTTATCTTGTGAAGTGGCATTCTAAATTGATATTGTAAACTCAATATTAGTCTTTCCAAAGAAGATCTGTTTCTGATCTTAAAAAACGTTGAAAAGCAAGTTTAGTTTGAGTTTAGTTTAATTTCAAAAGCACAACTAATCAATCCAAAGTAAGGTACAGCCCTTGAACTATGTTCATTTTAAATAGATTCCTTAGACCAGTTCTCATGTCATAGAATCACAACGCACTTTTTTTTATCAATATTGCCCTTGATTGCACTTGTCCAGTACAAAGCAAGTGAAGCAGAAGAGGGACAATTTTTCTTTTCCTGTGTGGTGTTGAGGGAGTAGTGAAGAGAAAGGAAAGGAGAGAGTGTTGTATATTATTCCTTTTTAAAAGCAATACCATTTTATTGTGTTATTTAATAAATTAGCCTTGGAACAAAACATTAAGGCTTACTAAGATTCTGTCATCATTTCTTCCCTACTAAAATGTCACTTACTGCAGTATCTTCATCATCAACAGAGCTCTTGGGGAATCTCATTTCAGCACCATGGACAGTGACACCTCTACTAGGAAGTGCGCCACCCATGCCATTGGCCATTTCTTAAGAAACTTGCATACACTTCTTTTTTGTCAATCAGCAAGGATTACAGCCCTTACTATATTAAACAGAAACAGACTGAATATGATAGACATTATTAAGGAGTTTAGTATTTTTTATCCCTAGCACCATGCATTTGGCATTTAATATTTTTGGAGAACATGCTGAAAATACAAGCTAATTACATAAGGTATCTGATAAAACCTAACATTAATTATTGATCACCAGATAGTTAATTGAAACTTTCCACTCATATTGAGTGTGAGGTCAATAATTATTCAAATTTCTAAGAGAAAACAGAAAATGTATTGTGATTCAGTACGCTTAGGTAGGCCTCCAGACTTTCCAAACAACCAGAACTATCTCTGTAAAACAGGTAAAACGTGTTTTGCTTCTTCCTACATAAACAACTACAAACACTTTCTCTTTACCTTCTGGTCAACCAACTTAATGACGTCACTCTGAAAATTCACGTGTGCAGGTCTATAAGCCAAATCACAGGTGCCAGTCTCTGACTCTTCTGATTTGGGCTAGGATCATTAGTATGCAGTCCCATCATGTCTTCTTAACAAGCCATATTCAAATTCCATTTTTTAAATAAGGTAACAGAGTTTAAACCAATCCCTTATCTGTAAGAGGTAATTTAAGCCCTAGCTTTATTATCTCAGAAAACCAGGGTGTTCCCTGATTTTCCAGGGATTCCCAGAATGAAGGCACCAGTCTACCACTAATCCACGAGGTATTCCCAACTCAAGCACCAAGTCAAGCTCTTATAACCACAATAACGACGACTGAAGTAACAAAACCAGAGCCACAAAAAAATTTAAAAAAAAAACTTTTAAAACTCTAGAAAACATTCCAACAAAATAAAACAGATGGAAAAGCTCAAGAAGGGCAGAAGAAAAAGGAAAGCCACTGATCCTACCTTACAGTCCTCAGGACAGGATTTCACCGAGTACTCCTGCGATTGTAAATATTTATGGAGCACACTTTCAAACTCTTCGTATTTCTCCTGAGCGTGGTGGTCGTAGTCTTGGTAAGCCTCAATGCATTGCCTGCAGGTGGTCATCTCGCCGCCCTCCTTGAGCACCACATCCAGACTACAGTTCAAAGTGTTGGGACTTGACAACCCCGAGAACAACTCCAAAAGTGTGTAGGAATTACAAAACGAAAGGTAAAAATCCGACAAGTTCCAGAGTGGAGTTGGATGTGTCCCTCTCACCTGCTGCTCCTCCCCCCTGGCCGCCACCCCCTGACTCCAGTTCCTGGCGCACACGGCGTCCGCGCTCTCCACCGTAAAGCACTGGCCCGAGGAGGCGCCTTGGGGGTAACAAGTCTCCAGGCGCCACACGGGTTTGGCAGAGTTTCCTAGAAAAAGAGCCTTGCTCCGGTTGTTTTTGCCCCCGCTGCCCTTGCCGCCGCCACGGCCGTCGCCGGGGGAGGGGGGTAGGGTGGGGGATGAGGAGGCGGAGAGCAGTCTGAGTGCCTGGGCAGCGGGCGAGGACTCCCCCATGCTCGCCAGGAGCGCGGGCCAGGAGGGCTCCTGCTGCCGCGTCCGCTGCTGTTGCTGCTGCTGCTGCCGCTGCCGCTGTTGCTGCTGCCGCTGCTGCTGATGCTGTTGCTGCTGATGTTGATGCTGCTCCTTGTCCCGGGTCCGGGTCAGCTTGGCTTCGGCGCAGAACCACAAGTGATCAGAGAGCAGGACTGTGAAAAACAAGAGAGATGCCAGAGACAGTCGCCATTTCTGAGCCCTCTCTGAATCGATGAACGGTTTCTCGTTCTCCCGGGGTGCTGCCAACCAGATTTTTAAGCCGTCGTCATACTGCCGACACATCCAAGCACCCCTGGTCATATTTTGGGAACGCACAGCCCGGGCCGACTCCACCGTGAGGGCTCCTGTGCCGGTGTCACCACAATATGCATTGACTTAAAGGGTTTAATTTCCTTATCCCCTCCTCCCGTTTCTTCTCTCTCTCTTCCTCTCCCTTTCCCCCTCTCCCTCTCTCTCCCTCTCTTTTTCTCTCTCTCTTTTTGCCTACATAAATATTACTAGGCTTTGGAGGAAGATCTGACTTGCTTCCGACCTAATCATCAGCCGATCTCTCCCTTTGTCCTCTATCTAAAGAGAAGACAAGAGTGGCAAGAGAGAGAGAGAGAGAGAGAGAGAGAGAGAGAGAGAGAGGCAGTCGGAGGTGGCTGGGCTGGTGGCCGGTGGCGAGCTGAGTGCAGGAGGTGATGGTGGAGGTGGCGGGGTGGCTCTGC